CTCCATCAAGGTTGACTTGGTCATGCCCTCATCCGCTTCGTCAGTCTGTCTGGCCAGTTAGATATCTGCCACCATCAAGAGATTCTCGCAATTTATAGTATGTTTACAAACGTACAATAGGACATCCACAGTATAACTATAAGAATGAAACCCTTCCCAACTGCACATAGATTACTCAGTAACCAGTGGTGTCAATTCATGCCCCAAAGGCACTCCAAAATGACTTATTTTTTTTAGTAACTTATGGAAAGCCAACAGCCTACGGCAATGTTTTTCAACCTCAGCAATTTTAAGATGTGTGGACTTCAACTCCTAGAAGTCCATGCATCTTAAAGCTGCTGAGGTTGAGAAACACCGGCCTAGGGACTGATCACATTTCCGCAGGAAGCTTTTCCAAAGAGCAGGTGCACCACCAGAAAATCAGAGGCTGTGAGCCTCCGCATCGCGCATCTCATGGAAGTGGGGAATCCCAAGCTGAATCAGGTGGGTTGAAGCCAGCCAGAGAAGGCAGTCCTCTAAGTCCTTTGATGCTAAGCCAACTGGTTTTTGTGTCTGTGTGCCTTTGAGTCAGTCAAGTTCATGCTGTTTCCTTGGCAATGTTTTCTGAAGGGGTTGGCCATGCTTCTTTCTTCCTAGGGCTGGGAAAGAGGAGCTGGCCCAAAGTCACCCTGTTGGCTTTTGTGCCTAAGGCAGCACTAGAACTCAGGATCTCCTGGTTCCTAGCCTGGTGCCTTAAAGCACTACACCAGACTGGCTCTCCAAGGGCTCTTCAGGACTGTAAAAATCCTAGGAAGTCAGTTCAGGGCTCAGAACACTGGGGTCACGTGCACATGTTGGCTCATCCCAGCCGATATTGCTGGTATTACTGTGTCTGTCTGTCTGTCTGTCTGTCTGTCTCTATCTAGCAATCAAATTTATATCACCGCCCCACTCCCCCACAAAAGGGACTCTGGGCGGTTCACAACCAAACAGTTAAAACCAATAAAAACATAAATAGTACAGCATAAAATGCAATGATTAAATATGACAAAATCCAAGCGATGGTGGTATTGTTGCAGCCTGGGACCAGATAATATTAGTCAGGTAGGACTAGCGAGCCAGCCATCCCCAAAACTGACCATTCCCATCCCCACCCCATGCATAAGAACAAAACCAGGTCTTCAGTTTTTTTCTGAAGTCTAAGAGGGAGGGGGCCGACCTCACTTCTGGGGGACCAAGAAGGGGGACTGTTTGGACCAAGTGAGGCTTCTGAGTGCTCTTCAAGGGCAGCCCCATATAGTGTGCACTGCAGTAGTCCAGACAAGTGGTGATGAGGCCATGAGTTCCCAACACAAGGTCCTCCTGCTGCAGGTTCGCTTGCAACTGGAGCATCACCCAAAGCTAGCCAAAGGTTCCCCTCTATGCAATGGCTGAGTAGCGGTCGGACAAATAAATCAGTCACATGTCAGCCGTATTGTGGAGAACTCCTAGTCCTGCCCCCCCCCAGTAATAAATAAGAAATAAAAACTGGCAGTGGCCCAGTGAGGGCTGTGCCACTGTAACAAGCCATTGAAAGAAGACATTTTCCGCCCAGGCAGTTGCAAGATTATTGACCTAGTGCAATAAGAAGAAAAGTTGAATAAAAAGTTTTATTTATTTTTTCATTTTATTTATTAAATTTATCTCCACCCATCTCCCCCTAATGGGGGACTCTGGGCGGCTCACATAACCCATTAAAACAATAAATATATATAAAATTACCTAAAACGTAAAAACTGTGCAAAACGTTACTAAAAGAAAAGAAAAAGTCCAAGAGGCTGATGGTTTTCAGAGCTGCAGAGCACAGGCCTCTGTGGGGCTAGCCATCCCCATGCTTGATGTCTTCCCTCCCCACCCCAGGTCAAGCAGCAGAGCCAGGTCTTCAGATCCCTCCGGAAGGCCAGGAGTGAGGGGGCCAATCTCACCTCCGGGGGCAAGATTCATTCATTCATTCATTCATTCATTCATTCATTCATTCTTTTCTCCCCATTTTTTCTCC